ACCACGGCGAGGAATCTGTGGACCAGGAGCTGAAGCCCATCTAGCAACAGGGAAGGGAAGGGAAGGGACGATGATGGAAAATTACTTGACGATGAGGGGCTTTGTTCATCAGTGTTCCCATGTGGTCTCATGCGGTGCCGCATGGCTGGGCCAGATGCTGCTGATGCGACAAAATGTCGCTTGGCAACACCACGCACTCCACTGGCACTAGCGGCAGCGAAACTATTTTCTGATTCTAAATCACTAAAACCAGAAAATGATTCACCTTCCTCAGACTCGTCGGCCAAAACATCATAATCAGGCAAAGTAACACATGAACTATGTGGTTTGGCGTGAAATGTTGTTGAGTGTGGGCGAGGAGGCATTGGTTACAAACTAGGCCTAATTCTCGTGACACCAGCATGTTCACTCTCATCATCTGTCATATCCACATTTGAGGGCTGTGTGTAGTCCTGATCTATTTCGGAGTCGTCAATATCAGGTTCATCACCCTCCGGGAACAAATTCTGATTAATTTCATCCTCAGTCAAAGGTCACGATGCACGCTGCGCTGAGCAGGGTCGGTCATTGGAACGTGATGCGCTTGCCATGGTCAGTCGTTGGAACGTGATGCGCTGGCCATGGTCTCTGTTGGGTAACTGAGGCCTGCAGACAATAGCGGCCTACGGTGGATTTTTTCTAGACCCTCAATCATATGTGCAAGTATTACGCAATTTTGTGACAGTTACTCCCATCTTATATGTATGTATTGCATGGTTTAAGGGTTATACAGTTTTAGCTTTAAAACAGTTAAGGAGTAACAGTTTTAGGGATTAAACAGTAAATGAGCTTCGAAGCACCAAGTGGCTGTTTATACCAATAACAGCAGATGATTGGGAAGTTTCATGCTTGTAAACTGTTTAACACTTTCGCGCTTTAGATTAGAGATAACTCGTCGCCGTTTTTTCTTACGATTCCACATAACAGCCTACTTTTCACGTCCATCGAAAAAATATTTCTATAAATTCCATTTTTTAACCGAAATGGATGGGGATACTCTCAGATTATATACGTTTTGTAAAGAATTTATTTGCGAATTTTTTGGTACCAGAATGAATATTATATCACATAAACTTCTATGAGTAAAAAAAACAAAAACACAAAGTATGTTTGGGGGTGTGGCGGGTGTGGCTCTGGGTGTGGCGGGCGTGTGGCAGTGGGTTCCCTTTAGCCGTTGATATATCCAACACGTGGGAAATATTTGTATGTGTTATGTATATGTCTGTGTAGGGAATTTTACTGCGATCACTGTCATACAAATTATAAAATGTTTCAACAAGTATAAACATGACAAACATCAAACGAACGAAAACAATGCGTTCGTTTCTGCCGCGAACGCATACTGAGCGACGTGGTTCTATATTTGGCGCTTCTCTTACACATGCTTTGTACAAATGTTATACATTTCATCTTATAGAAAATTTTATTGCGAACACATTGGTATAAAAAAGAAATACGTACATAGAAAAGTAGGGTCAGGAAACGTATAAATGTATAAACTTTCCAAGCATGATTTCCCCCCCTGTGTTTTCGCCAGTGCGCTCGCGGCTAACTACTCTCCACTTCACACACTCTTGCGGGTGGGCAATTACCTATATTAAACATTCATATGCATATGTCCGTGTAGAGAATTTTATTGCAATTCCAATGATACCAAAATTAGCGATGTAGGACAACTGTAGGCTTCGCAACCATTAAGAGAGTGGAAACATTTTGTTGCTGTTTGGCGCTCTCGGCGAGTGATCTGCATAGTTTTTTATTTGGTGTTGATACTCCTTATGCTTGGGCGGCATTTTATAGGTATGCTCTTATAGACAATTTCATTGCGAACACAGTGATACCAAATTTAAATACGTGCGCCTTCAATTATTGTCAGGACAGTCAAAAGAGTGTACACTTTTTCGGTCTTACCGCGTAGGCGCGCGAAGTGCCGAAAGCATCTGGGGTATTGATTTTTTTTGAGCGCCGAGAGCGCGAAAGTGTTAATAAATGTAACCAAAGTCATCAAAGATTGAGGAAAGATGAACACATTTATAAGTACTTACGTAACTGCTTCGTGAATCTGGCCTCTGGCCCTAGTCGGGCATGTGTCACATTGGGTCAGCGGTTGCAGCTAGTTGTCTCGACTTTGAGTTGATGAGTGAGTGGCGACCGCCTCCCGGGTAAATCCTCCTTGTTTTATCTTTGGTTAAGTAACTCCGGGGAGCTGAAGGGGCTCCCCCCCAAGAAAACCAGCTTTGAATGTAATGAAATGCCAATTTCTGAGTGAGACCTGGAGGCTTCCCAGCACCTTCTGGTTGGCGGTTTTTGTGTGTTTTGACATCCAACCTCAGAACTAACGGGTGTTGATAGCCGGCATTGGGGGTCTGGGGCTCCCTCATCCCCCTCCCGGGATGGGAGAGCTGTGCAGACAGCAGCCTGATGCCAGTTGTGATGTCATGTTTGTTTTTCGTTTGGGGAGTTCCGTCCAACAGACTTTCTGTAGCAATTTTTAATCAGATAGGGTTTGTTTTGGGATGCCTACCTCTCTGGGTGCCTGACCCGGTCGATGGCAGACATAGAATGCCTCCAACCACATGGGGGTTTCTAAGGCCATTGTTCCTCGTGCCTCTAAGGGGGGCCCAGGTTCTGAACTGTAGTCCCCATTAGGCCTAAGAATTCCATTCGCTTTGACTGATGCCAGGGTCTAATACATTCATATCAGCCAGGATAGCTCCGGGAAGCCTCCGGGTTTCACCCAGAAAATGGCATTTCATTACATTCAACACTGGTTTTTGTTCTGTGATTGCTAAAATGTGTTTCCAAATCATGGAGAAAAAAAAATCATAGGTGACATGTTTTGGCTGCAATAGGGAGAGGAAGTCTGGAAAAAATTTAGGCGTTGACAGAGTAAGCTTCAGAGGCGGTCTGCTCCACCCACACTGTCAGGAGGGTGTTGCCACAAAGATATTATTACCTAATTATTTCAATGTCTCTGATTTTTTCTGTTTTTTTTCAGTAATATTATTCAATAGCATGTAGTATATTTTTATATATATTTTATATTTGATATATTTTTATAATAAAATGTGTGAAACAATCGCTATACTCAAAAGTATGTTTGCATATTAGTGATTCAGTTATTAGGTTTATAAAACAATAAACAAATAGTTTTGCTGATACTACACTATATACACATGTTATATATAAGTATCTGCATGTTTTGCTCACCATAATGAACCACTAAGTTGGTATGGTGAGTCCAAACAACAAGAAACACACACCAGCCAGCAGACAGCATCTCCTTCACCAACTCCTCACTCGTCAACATTCCTTCTCCCACCATACTGTTTTTGCTGTTATTACAGTATATACACACATTATATATAGGTATCTACATGTTTTTTTCACCATAACTGTACTTCTAAGTTGGTATGGTGTCCAAACAGTATAGTGGGCCACCTTGTTCAGCATGACAAGTCACACACCAGCCATCAGACGGCACCACCTTCCTCACCAAAATGGCTCCTCCCAACATACTCTTTTTGCTGTTATTACACTATACACATTATATATAAGTACAGTATCTACATTTGTGTTGACCATAGCGAACCACTAAGCTGGTATGGTGAGTCCAGACAATAACAGGTTGCCACACAGAGTCAGCATATGATGCTACCCCCTTCTCTCACCAAGATTACTCCTCCCACCATACTAAGGTGCATATCGTTGACATAGATTTGTTGTACTGTGTAGCTAGATCAACAACCCACTTATCATCTTCATATTTATGAATGATCTCTTGTTTTTTTCTCTATCGTCAACATTACAACTATTTTCTTAGGTTGAACTTTACCACCGACTTTCTTGGGACCCTTGGTGTGATATATAATAATAACATTAATGTTCAGAAACCAAAAAAGCAGAAAAACAATGAACCTCTTCACAAAGAATTCAAACATGGTCGTCACTAGGAGGGATACACTGGTAAACTGAGCGTGCCTCACCCCGCGCCCAGCAGAACCATGTGCTTGACCCATACAAGTATCAACAGACGACGCGTATTCCAAGGGGAACTTCGTACACAAAGTCAAATTTTACAAGGAAGTTGACTTCGTATACCAAAAAACTCGTAATCTAGGGCATTCATAAACCAAGGTTCCACTGTAGTTTGTTCATATTGTTGGTGAAGTTGTTTTGCCAATTTTGAGGTGGTTGATCTTTCCTTATACCCAGCATTGGTCTGTTTTGCAGACGAGGAGTCACAATAACGTGGCTGAAATATGTTGACTAAACCACACACTAGAAAGTGAAGGGACAATGATGTTTTGGTCCATCCTGGACCATTCCCAAGTCGAATTCACAATCGACTTGAGAATGGTCCAGGACGGACTGAAACGTTGTGGTCTGTTTTGTTTCGCTGACATTGTAGCTGCTTTCCCGGTGGTGGCGAACATGATTAAAATTCACTGACAATTTTATCATAGTGCCACTGCGCTCTGCATCTCTTTCGATGTAGCCAGGTTCTGGCTCCTGGTCCCTGTTAGGCCGAAAAGAATTCTATGACTGATGGCACTTAGCAATTTTTTACTGAATTGCACTGTATCAGCATTGTAGCTTCAGGGAGCCACTGGGGCTCACTTAGAAATTGAGGTTTCATTACATTAAAGGCTGTTTCTTTTTTTTATATACAGTATGTCCCAAAAATATTGATTTTGTTAGGATTTTTCGTGGTCTGGGAATGCATTCTCCATTTATAGCATTGTATCTGTGGGAAATCTCATTCTGTGTCCCGAAAAAATGCTGTATGCTGTCTTTTGCTATCAACTTTTCTCATTATCATCCATATTCCAAAACTTCTTTGTCTTTTCTCACCAAAGAAACTCTTGTCCTAAATTGTCAGAAAATTATAATAACAAAATTTTGTATTTAAAATTTTAAATAAAAAATTTAAAATAATATATTTTGTTTTAATTTCATAGGAAGGAGAGCAAATATTGCCATGTTCCATTACAAAGGAGGAGGAGGAATATGCAGAGGAAGTGGGACTCAACCCACACCTTTCCTGGAAAATCTACTCTGTAAACTGTCATCCAGGTATGATGTAAATATATAAATATTAAAATTTTATTAACCCCTAGGTTGCTCTTGCAATTATAGCCTGCAAAATGCTCAAGTGCAAGAAATAAAAAAAATAAAAAAATTGTCTTATATAAGACAAATTTTGTTCCCTGATCACGGGAAAAATAATGAAAAAAATCGTAGGTGGCATATTTTTGCCACAATAGAGCAGGGAAGTCTCGCAAAAAACAGGTGTTGACAGAGCAGGCCCCAGAGGTGATCTGTTCTGCCCTAGCTTGTGGCGGGAGTTGCCACAAAGATGATATTACCTAATTATTTCAATGTCTCTGATTGAATTTTTTGTATTTTTTTGCAGTAATATTATTCAATAGTGTGTAATGTGATATATTTATATAATAAAATGTGTGAACCATTGCTATTTTCAAAATTATGGTGTGTATATTAGTGATTCAATTATTATGTTCATAAAACAATAAACAAATACTTTTGCTGTTATTACACTATATACACAGGTTATATATACAAGTAGTTGCTGTTGTTAAAGATTCGCTACCTGGAACAAGAAGTTCCAAGTAGCATGGGCTATGGTGAGCCCATCTTCCTATACAAGTATCTGCATGTTTTAGCAACGAGGAGTGGTCGCCACACCAGCCAGCCAGCCACACACCACCACTCCCTCCCTCAACAACACCTCACTTTCCAACATTCTCTTCCCACCATACTGTTTTTGCTTTTATTCACTATATACAGACATTATATATAAGTATCTACATGCAGGCGATGAGTCACAATAACGTGGCTGAAGTATGTTGACCAGACCACACTAGAAATTGAAGGGACGACGACGTTTCGGTCCGTCCTGGACCATTCTCAAGTCGATGAAATTCTCATCGACTTGAGAATGGTCCAGGACGGACCGAAACGTCGTCGTCCCTTCAATTTCTAGTGTAAGTATCTACATGTTTTTTTCTCACCATAACTCTACAGTTAAGCTGGTAAGGTGAGTTCAGGCAATAAGAGAATTTGCAACACACACACAGCTGATGGCTGCCTCCCTCCCTCATTGGTTCAAGACCAGATGCACTAAAATTTATCTCCCAATAATACTGTTTGTGGCGCTTTAACACTATACAGTGGTACCTCGGTTTAAGACTTTAATCCGTTCCTGGAGACAGCTCGTAATCCAAAGCTAATTTCCCCATAAGAAATAATGGGAAATGAATTAATCCGTTCCTGACTACCCAAAAACCTCACTTCAAACTAAATTTTATACCTAATTCATCTAAATAAACCTTCAAAACTATGTTCAAGTTATTACTTACCCTTGCTGATGAATGCTGTAGGCGTATGGAAGATTGTGAGGAGGGGGGAGGAGGAGAGGTGTTACTGTTTGGAAGGGGAGTCCCTTTCCATTGTAACATCAGGCAGTGAGGACCTTTCTGGTGTGCACTCCCTGGTATGTTTTGCCTGAGTACCACTAGGTCCTGGTTGTGGCTCACTGCTCGATTTTCTCACAAGAAATCTGTCCATGGAAGCTTGTTTTTCCCTTCTTCGCAAGCTGTCTCTGTGGTAAGGGATCACATTGTCATTGAAAAGATTAAGGCAACGGTCTACTACAGCTTTCTCTGGGTGAGTCTTTTCAATAAAAGCTTGCATCTCTTCACACATCTGACACCACTTCTTAATTTCTGCAGAGGGGACATTCTGTACTGCCTCATCCTCCTCCACCGGAGAAACATCCTCAGCTGTGTCTTCTTGCTGCTACTTTTGAAGGGCTTGGAGTTCTTCGGTGGTCAGTTCTTCATTGTGTTCTTCCACCAACTCCTCCACATCATCACTATCTAATTCCAAGCCCGTTTGCCGGCCCAGAATAACAATTTCCTCAACAATAGGCGCATCATTTACAGGCTCAAACCCCTCAAAGTCTAGTTCTGTCACACATTCAGGCCACAATTTTCTCCAGCCAGAGATCAGGGTTCTTTGAGTCACTTCTTGCCAGGCTTTGTCAACGAGTTTTAAAGCACTACAAATGTTAAAATGGTCTTTCCAGAACTCTTTGAGGGTGAGGTTTGTGGCTTCAGTCACTTCAAAACATTTCCGGAAAAGTGCCCTTTCATAAAGTTTCTTAAAATTTGCTATGATTTTTTGGTCCATAGGCTGAATTAGAGGAGTGGTGTTAGGAGGAAGGAACTTTACTGTGAGAAATTTACTGTATCTGTGCAACAAGTCATCTTCCAAACCTGGAGGATGAGCAGGAGCAGAGTCGAGGAGAAGCAGGGCCTTGAGTGGCAAATGTTTCTCCTGCAGATATTTTTCTATAGCAGGGCACAGCACATCATTCACCCACTCCGAAAAAATAATCCTAGTCATCCATGCTCTTTTATTAGCCTTCCACATCACACACATTTGGTTTTTCTGCACTTTATATTGTTTGAAATCCCTTGGATTTTCAGAATGATACACTAGCAAGGGTTTAATTTTCAAATTGCCACTCGCATTTGAACACAGCACAAACGTAAACCTATCTTTCATAAGCTCGTGTCCGGGCAATGATTTTTCCTCCTTGGTATATCCTCTTAGGCAATCTTTTCTAGAACAGTCTTGTTTCATCACAATTAAAAACTTGTTGCGGTAGGTATTCCTCAGCCTCTGCAAACTCTATAAGTTCTTCAATAAATCTTTCAGCTGCTAGTCTTTATTTGTGTTCCCTGAGCACGGGAAAAATAATAACAAATTTAATTGTACCTACCAACGATGTAAATGAGCCGAGAAGTTGGCCGATGACGTCACGATTCATCTTCGCTGGAGCGCTGTGCGCCCGGGCTGACTCAGGCGCTGCGAAGAAGGAGCATGAGTTGCCGCGAATTTATTTTCACGGTATTATTTACAGTATGGCGTATTTGACACCCATTATTTTCACTGGTGTGGTTCAATATGTTCGCACTTGTCGTTTTATTATCATACAACTGTTGTCAATGTATATTATATCCACATATTAGTGTCACAAGTATTTGCACAAAAATGTCTTATTTTTCGATAAAATATACTATTTCTTATGATTTATTTTCAATATTTACACCCACTTATTCTGTATTTACATGTTTTTGCACCATTCTTGGACATTTAGAAGTCATCAAGACTGTGATAATCGTCAAAACATTTGACATAGCACAGAGGGACCTGACACGCTGTGCACCAAGTCATCATCATTTTTCATTTCTGTTCCCTCTTGGTTGTTATCTTGCATACAATGCACTCACGCTGACCAACAGCACGCTTTGCAGTTGGTGGTAAATACTTAGATTGTGTGTGACAATGGCATCCTTGAAAGTGAATCTGGGTGCTGGAGCATGGTGCAATACCGAGTTCAGAATAGGCCTCTGTATGCCAGGAATTACTTTGCCAAACTTCTCAAGTAATTGTGTCACTTCAGTAAAACTGAATGCACAGAAATTTTGTTAACCACTTGTTTTGACATATTGTAACATATTGACATATTTGACATATTACATATTTGACATATTGTAACTGTTCAGCATTGTTACGTCAACAAGGTAGAAAAACATTTTCTTAGTCCACTTCACTGTTTTCTGTACACACTCCACTGCTTAATTGCACACTAGTTTCTCTATCAGCTATCTCACCCTGTCAGAGTAAAACAGACAAATGTATGTGAATGCATGTGTGTGTGTGTATATATGTATCTACAGTACAACCTCGATTCAACGTACTATATGAGACCAACCTCAGTGCGTTGGAGGATTGGATGCGTTGCAAGAGGTGACCTTCAGGAGGCATTTGTGTCAGTGTCTTTTTTTTTCTTGTACACAATAGAAATGCATTATCATATTATATACTATACCTATATATTATTATTCTACTAAAAAATACTGTGTTACATTTGTTATTTACCTTATTGTTGGAGTTATGTCCACCTTGAAGTCTCATGGAGTTGTGAATGCTGTACAGTAAATACGTACTGTAGTGTATTATACCGTTAACACTGTGTTGATTAAGTAGTTCTGCTGTATGTTGAGTACTACAATACAGTTTAGGAAAACTATTGTACACTATAAAATTACTGTAACTTAAATTTTAACAATGTACACACTTAAATTTAAAACTTGTTTTAACTATTCACGCCACACATTATGTTTTTAGATGTTTGCATCAGCTTTGCTGGTGCTCGCTGCTGCTGTGGCTTCAGCTGGTTCTGAGCTGGTGCTGGCTGCTGTTGTACCAGTGCTGGGTACAGCAGCTCGTGCTGGGTACAGCAGCTCGTGCTGGGTACGGCTGTTCTCATGCTGGGTACGGCTGTTCTTGTGCTGGGTATGGCTGTTCTCGTGCTGGATACGGCTGTGATGGTGCTGGTTGATTTCTGCTACAAGTTCTTGCAAAATATTGCTTCAGTTTTGGCATTAATAAGGCACTATTAGTTAGCCCCTGAGACATTTTGTTGTACAACAATACAGCTGTATTCAAAAAGTGGTAAATTCCACAATTGTTCTTCCACCGGTGGTTAAATACTGTACGTCAATCACAGACAAAGCTAAGGGCACTAGGTGCATACTGTACTAACGCAGACTAGGTCTATACATACACCCTACAGTAGGCTGGTGTTTAACCACTTAACTGCGCCAACCGAGTATTCTCGGTCGGCGGGAAACTGCGCCAACCGAGAAAACTCTTTTTGATTTTTCGGTACTAATTCTAAATGTATACGAGGTTGGTTGTGTACGAAATGGACTCTTAGGACCTCCAGTGTGAGGCAGCCATCTTGGAAAAAATTCCCAGTAGATAGTAAAAATAGATAGTAAAAATAGAGCTGCTGGCTGGGTTAGTACTGAATGAGCAACCATGGGTGGTGCATGCGCCTCTGGCTCCCAAACACCTGTCTGATGCGGTGTTGAAAGAAAACGCTCTGTCGTTGAAATTCAAACCTTATTGTTTGAAGATCATGAGGGTCATAATATTGGTGAAGTTAGGCGCAATAAGGACCTAACACAAAGGTCGGA